TTATCTCTGAGTCATCCTGTGTGCCAGCTCTGCCGCTTGCTATACAGCACCGCACCAACCGTGCCATGTTCCATGTTCCAAGTTCCACCAAAAGCGGCAACATGTAGCAACACAACATGCTGGCAACTTCTAGCATACAAGTGAGTCACAGCTCAGAAAGTAAGCGGAGATGTGACTCATCACATGGCATCAGGCCGAGTCAGCCTCTGTGCCAGTTTCGCCGCGCGACACGCGGCAGAGCACCGACCATGCCAATGGGGCCAGAACGTACCCAGCAATGTCACAGCACAATCACATCGCGCCAGCCCACTGAATTTGTCTCAGCTTCATCATGCCAGAGTTACCCTTGCAGATTGGCTGCGGACCATTGCGTTGCAGGACAAGACCATGACCACGCTCACTCCAAGTGCAGCACGCCTTTAGAGATTATTGCATGTGTCGCAGGAGCCATGCGAAGAGAACATGTAACAAACTTACCAAAGACCCGGAAGATGACGTCTAAACACTGCGCCCAACCGAACCCCAACGTCACCTCTCAGTCTGTCCTGCAGCTGCTGCTGGAGGCCGGCGATCGTGTCCTCTTGCAGCCTGTCAATGCGTTGACATGTGAGCTAGAGTCTAAACTCATAGTATCCCCTTAACCCGCCCCTACAATACTCCCCTATATAATCCCCTACGTAACCTCCTTTAAGGATTTTGACCCTAAACCGAAAAACCCAGAATAACCCCCCTATAACCCCCTTTCAGCAGTTTAGACTATTAACCCTAAACCCTATTTAACCCCCTTTAAGGAATTTTCACTCAAACCCTAAACCCTAGTAACCCCCCTTCAGGAGTTTAGACGATAGCTCATGTGGTGGGGGCAGAGAACGCACGCGCAGATGCTGAGAATTCGGCTTGATGGTGGCACGTAAAGGGCCGGCCTAGACAACTTACGCAAGGATCAACATAGTAATCAGTATGAAAATACTAATATAACAATATAGGAAAATAGTAACATAGGAATATAGGAATGTAGTACTATAGGTATAGTAATATAGGACTATAGTAGTATCGTTGTTTATCCGATTTTACTCTGGCCCGGAGGTCTGCCTCTGAGTCCAAATGTGACGCCTCGTGAGCGGGTGCCCATGCCTGCAGCTGCGGCCCAAAGGAGCAAAAAGTCTTGAAGAACCCTAAACCTTAAACCAAACCCTTAAACCCTAAACCCCTTATCCCCAAACCCTAAACCCTAAACCCCTAAACCCCTAATCCCCAAACCCCTAAACCCCTAATCCCCTAATCCCCTAATCCCCTAAACCCCCTAATCCCCTAATCCCCTAATCCCCTAATCCCCTAATCCCCTAAACCCTAAACCCTAAAGAGTCATTTCCACAGGCGGCCTCCGCCATGTCCAAGGCCTGCCGAAGCCTCTGCGCCACTGCGCGCTCCCAAAGCAAGGCCTTTCGGGCCGCCTGACGTGTACTTTCCGTGCAGTAGTAGTAGTAGTAGTAGTAGTAATAGTAGTAGTAGTAGTAGTAAGAGTAAGAGTAAGAGAAATGGTACAGTAATAGTAATAGTAATGATAGTAGTAGGAGTAATAGTAATAGTAATAGTAATAATTATAGTAATAGTAATAGTAATAGTAAGAGTAAGAGAAATGGTAAAGTAATAGTAATAGTAATGATAGTAGTAGGAGTAATAGTAATAGGAGTAATGGTAATAATAACAGTAATAGTAACAGTAATAGTAGTAATAATAATAGTAATAGTAATAGTAATAGAGAATGTAATTGTAATAGTCGTAGAAGTAGCATTAGCTATCCAAATCCTATCTCTTTGCCTTGAGGTTCTTCAGAAGCGTCTCATAGCTGACTGCGTCGTCCTTACATGGTTCTTCTGGCGTATACGGTACAATTCGCGAGACAGCATGAGATCAGGCCTCTCCACCCCGTTCGGCCGCCTCTATTTCCTTTGCACTTCCATGTCAGGCATATTGGTCGGCTCTCTTGCAATCTCCAAAATACAAGGCTCTGGGCAAGCGTGGGGGTTATAGTCTAAACTTCTTAAGGGGGCT